GGGGTTGAGAATGTCTTGGCTGGAAATAAAAACATGAGGCTGTAAACAGATGGTAACTTGAACAATGAAAGAGCAGGAAGTCAAGTGTGAAATTACTGTAGAAAAAAAGGAAAAAAAGGGCTGAAGGCAATGATAAAAAAAGATTAAGGGATGGTCCAATAAAGAAGAGCTTACAAAAGAGACTGAACAAGCAGCGAGAGAGATGGGAAGAAAGGGTACAAGTGAAGGAGGGAATGAACAACAGAGTCAAATCACCCTGGAAAACTGAATTTAGGATTGAGGATTGGTAATTAATTTAACAACAAGAAGGCCATTGGTGACTTCAGCAAGAGCAGTGTCAGTCAAGTAGAGTGGGTGGGACTCATATTACATTCATCTGTAGGAGGGAGTAGGGGTGAAGGAGTAGAAATAAGAAGTTAAAGTTTTTCGTTCAAGAACCAAGAGGCTTTGGGAGGCTGCGCTCCTGCTCCCGCTCCTGCTCCGGCTCCCTAGACCGCGGAGGTGCCATGAGCGGCGGAACTGCCTTGAGTGAGTGCCCGTTCACCGTGTGCAGGAGCCTGCACCCCGACCACCTGTGGATCTGGCGGCCCAGCGTGTTTGTGGACGAGAATGATCGCACCTGGCTGCCCATCACCAACGAGACAGAAAGCAGCCTCCAAGTCCTCTTGCGCCAGATCAAGGTCTCCCGCGGGGAGACCATGCAGCCCAGCCGGCTGCCCCCCAGCATGCTGCCCCTCATGTGGCAGCTCTACCCTGGCAGGCGGTACCGCGCCTCCGACTCCAGCTTCTGGCGCATCGTGCACCACATCGAGATCAGTGGCGTCGAGGACATGGTCCTTGAGCAGCTGCCAGACCCATAGCGCACTTTGGCGCAGGTCCTGCGGTTCCTGTTCCTGTGCCCGGAGCCGCAGTCCCGCTGGCCTGCAGTGGGGATGTCCATGCTTCTGTGTTCCTTTTTACCAGCCCTGTTGTTCTGTCTGCCACCCCCGCCGGAGGGCGCGGACAGTAGGGGATGAGCCCGCCCAGGGTCCACGGGAACCTGCCTGCAGCCCCCTCAGCCTCCCTGGCAGATTGGCCCAAGAGAGCGCGGCTCCAAGTGCCCAGGCCCTACCTGTCCCTGGTTCTCTGAGCTGCCTGCTGGTTTGTGGCCGCGATCTCTCTCTGTGTCCCCCCCCACCCCCCAGTCACTCATGTTCTGTGCTACCCACGGGGATACTTCTCGTTCTCTTCCCTCAGCTCTGTGCGCCTCTGGCTGCAAGGCAGCGGGGCCTACACGCCTGAGCCCAGGCCAGGCCCCGAGCCCCTGAGTCAACTCTCTCGTGGCGTGTGCCTGCTCACGACCATGCCTGCAAAGTCCCACCTGCCACGCAGGTTCACACGCAGCTCACGGGAAGGCCTAGAGGAGCTGGGCTCCGTGCTCAGCACTCGGAAGCTTGCGGGTCAAGCGTCCACAGCCCCTGAGCTCGCAGGAGGCCAGGCCAGCAAGCCCCCCTGTAGGACAGAGGTCGCAAGTCCCCCCTTTTATAGGCACCCACACCCCTGGATGTTATGAGGTTGTATGTAGCATGAACACTTTGTAATATTGATCGATTAAATGTAAGACAACTCATCTAAAAAAAATTTTTTTTCGTTCAAGAAATTTCCTGTGAAACATGTAAAGAAATAGCTAAAAGCAGACTTAAATTTGATGGGAAGGTTTTTTGTTTGTTTGTTTGTTTGTTTTAAGGTAAGTGTTGAACATGTTTGCAAGTTAACAGGTAGGAGACAGTAAAAAGGAACCAGTTGGATTTATAAGAGAAAAATGAGATAATCAATTGATAAAATCCCTGAGTGACATGGCCAGATGGGATTCAGAGCAGACCGAAGGATTAACCTGGAGCAGATAGAATATGTCCTCCATGATAAGCAAAGGAAAAGAAAGTGTGTAGGGAAGGAAATAAGTCTGTGGTTTGGGAGACAGGAGAGTGAGCACATCTGACAGCTTTTATAGTCTCTGTGACAATGGAGGTGAGCCCTCTGCTCAGAGTGATGGGACAGGGTTTTGAGGCATGCGGACAAGTTCTGACATAGTCCCTGCAGAAGATGAGCAAGAGCTGACTAGAGAAACACAGACAGGGCGACACTGAGGGCCACACTGACATTAGGACCACAATTATAAAGCGACACAGCTTTAAATTGTTGCATTTTCTGCAGTGGCCCTCGCCAGTTTAGGGGCACATGTGTAGAAAACATACAAAACATGGCTAGTGCCTTTTCCAGATTTCCTACACTTTGGTCGGTGTGATCATTTGTCTCTTTCCTAAAAACTCAATCATCATTTCTGTGAGATTTTAAAATTTAATTAGGATGAACTCTCCATAGTTATTCTTTATGAATCCATAATGCTATCCTTTAAGAATTTCCATTTTCTTTCTCTAATTTTCCTTGACTAACATTTCTGAAAACTAGGATACCCTATGTATTAGCTTCCTTTGGCTGCTGTAACAAATCACCACAAACGTGGTGCTTAAAACAACACACATTTGCATTCTTACAGTTATGGAGGTCAGAAGTCTGCATTCAGTTTCATGGGGCCACACCCAGCCTCCAGGGAAGAATCAGGTACCTTGCCTTTCCCAGCTTCTTAGAGCCGTGTTCCTTGTTTCCCTTGGCTCCTGGTCTCTTCAAAGCCATCTTGCTTGAGTGGTCACATTGCCGCCTTCTTCTGTCTCATAAAATCTCCCTCTGCCTCCATTTTAAAAGGACACTTGGAATTGTGTTTAGGGACCACCCAGATATTCCAGTATAATCGCCTCACCTCAGGATCCTTATCTTGATCACATCTGCAGTCTCCTTTACTGTGTAGCATACGCGGGCTCCAGGGTTTAGGAGCTGGATATCTTCGGGAGCTAATATTCAGCCGACCACATCCTGTGTTTCTCCACGGGACTCAAGGATGTCTGGAAATACTATAGGCAACAGGAAACAGCCACTGATCACAATGCACCCCTTCCTGAAGTCCATGTATGGGGGGCAGGAGACAATTAAGTCAGGCTAGAAGGTGGACTCTATGAAGGGACAGTAGGTATGAAGCTTGAATCCCACAAGGGAGCTATGGAAACTATGATGCATCATTTTGCAGGTGGGAAAGTGAGCTTGGGAGATGGGAGACTAAGACACAAGAAGAAAATAGTTGCCTACATACAGGAGAGGAAACTACACCTGAAGTTTCTCCTCTTAGGTGCCTCTAACACAGTGGTCAGCAAACTGCGGCTCGTGAGCCACATGCGACTCTTTGGCCCCTTGAGTGTGGCTCTTCCACAAAATACCACGTGCAGGCGCGCACGTACAGTGTGATTGAAACTTTGTGGCCCATGCGCAGAAGTCAGTATTTTGTGGAAGAGCCACACTTAAGGGGCCAAAGAGCCGCATGTGGCTCATAAGCCGCAGTTTGCCGACCACTGCTCTAACACAACCGTCTGTGCCGTACTTGCCAAGCTTTTGCTCATTATTAGCTCAAACATGCTTAAGCGATTCATTACCTTAAACAAAAAGATTTTTATACTTGTACATTTCATTCCCTTTGACTTTCCCTTATGAAACTAGCAACTTTCTGGAACAAAGAAGGTCCTTGACCAGTATCAGTGCACGATGCCTCTAAACTAATTTCGGATTTCTCTCCTGTTGGAGAGCCCGGCTCAGTTCTATGTAAGTATTCACCCAGGGATAACAGTGCAGAGCCGACCCAAAGCATGACAAAAAATATCCCTCTGGGCCTAAGAAGGGCTAGAAATTCAGGATCCCTGACATTGTTCTGACAAAACTATCTGCTTTCTGTGAAATGATTTACATAGCAGAGAGAACTGGACAATTACCAGAACTGGCATTTCTTCCTATGGTTCACATTCTTAGACTCAGGAAATCCCAACATCTTGAATTTATATCCAAAAATTTAGGTGGAATAATCAAGGAACATTATAAAGAAGACAGTAATTTTCACATCTCAATTACTAGCTTTCCAAAAATTCTGAATGACATGTGCTTATCTACTTATATAAAAACCCTGGGTGGTGTTCATCACGACCAGAACTGCCGCAACAAAGCGGAAGGAAGTCAGTCCTGCAGAGGTTGTCTTGGCAATGGCTGCGCCCTCCCCCGACCTGTTTCCCAGAGCTGTTTCCTGTAAGGGTGGGGTTTGAGGCAGGAACCCGCCCTGGGAGGTGGAGGCATTATCTTTCTAAAGTGTGCTGCCCCAGCACAGCCAAGGGTGAACCTGAGTGGGGGCGGCTGAAAGGCTTAGAAAAGACAGACAAGAGAATGAAAGCCAGGTCTCAGTGGGATGCTGCTTCTCTGAGAGACAGCGACCACGCCCACAGCCATGCCTTTATTTTATAGCAAATGCTATGAGGCAAAGTAAGGGTGTGACCAAGATGTTTACAACATTCTCCTGGGTTTCCATCCTACTCAACTATATGCACCTGAACTCTATCAAGCCTACATCACTCAGGCACGTGGGGCCATGTGTTCGGACCATAGGTTCAAGCTTACAACTACAGCTGTTGGCTATAATTGTGCTGGGAGGGCCCTGCCCTCCAAGCTGGGACTTGCATGTGGCAATGAGAGGACTGTGCCCTCTCATCAGTCCAAGGTTTGAACCTGTCCAAAACACTGTAGCGGCTCCCCACAATAAAGTTTTAATTCTGTTTCTTTGTTACTAATGTTGTGGTCCCACCCCATAACAAAGAAACAATTTCCGGAGGATGAGGCCCAGGAATCAGGATTTTAAAAAGATTCCCAGGTGATTCTAATGTGCAGCCAAGGTTGAGAACCACTACTATAGATAATATTAAAAATATATCTAAACGTGCAATTCTTTGTCCAAAAAATGAGCATGTTCAAAAATTAAATGAAGACATTTTGGATATACTTGATGGAGATTTTCACACATATTTGAGTGATGATTCCA